GGCCGCCTCCCGGGCCTCGGCTAGTGCTGACCCGCCCCTCCGTCCGCGGCCTTCGGGGTCCCCATCCCTGAGCCCCACCTTGTCCCTGGCCCCGAGCCCCCAGCTTTCCCTGCGCCCCTCACGGCCCCTCTGGATCTCCCTGCAGGCTCTCGGGCGGGAACACACTTCGCAGAGACTTTTCCCCGACAAACTTCCAGAACCTCTGGAAGACGGTGAGTTTCTGCACGGCCCGGCTCTCCTCCACACGCTAAGGCCTCGGGCCTCCATTGGAGGGAGGGAGCCGAGGGGGTGCCACTCCCCCTCCCCCACTGCAGCTTCAGGAGGTGGTAAAACCGAGAGGGTGGGAGGGAGTGGGGGGCGGGTTTCCCGGGCGCCGCCGGGCTCGAGTCACTTCCGGTGCCCTGACCTTTATAGGAGTAAACAGACCCCCGCCATCTCCGCCTCCCCTCCTGCCCAGGTGACTGAGTAATCCCCTGTCTTGAGGAGAAAGCATTGGCCAAGTACTTGGCTAGCTGGTAGTGTGGGGGTCAAGTAGGAGCCGCCTAGGGAAGGCCTGGACTCCGAGTTCTTGGTCAAAACTTGGCATTGCGGGCACCTTCAGCCCATTCCTTCTCAAGTCACGAACTTGCAGGAGACCCCTTGGCAATTATTTTTTCTCTCGAGAGCAGACAGCCTTCAGCCCGAATTGTCCGGGCTGGCGTCTGACCCAGCTGTGGTTTTTCCAGGCCTGAAGGCCCCGGAGTGCGCCAGCGGCATGTACAAAGACACCGTCTACTCCGCCTTCAATCTGCTCATGCACTACCCACCCCCTTCTGGAGCAGGGCAGCACCCCCAGCCGCAACCCCCACTGGTAAGTGGCCCCAGCAGCCCAGCCTGCCTTGTGCCTGCCACCTTCTTGACCGGGTATGTGGGGCATGGGCAAGAAGTGACTTTAGCCTAGAACAAAATAGATACATGAGAACTCCTTTTTGGTCTCTTTTCCCATTCACACCCAGTGGGATCTGAACTAGAGAACTTTGCTGAAAGAAGGAAGGATGGCCCTAGGCAGCCCTCTTCTTGCTAGCTGTTGGCTTTTGTCTTCCTAGCTTGCACCCAAGCAGGTACAGGCCCTATCCTGGTGCTAGGTGATTGCTGGGGTAGAGTCTTCTTAAAGAATATTTGAGCTGAGACCACCCCTGGCTCCTGAGGGTAGTGTAGGTGGTGTGGTCTGAGCTGTGAGCTTCGTAGTTAGCCTTCTCCCAAAAGCCTGACTCCCTAAGCCTCGGTGCTTGGAGGAACCAACAGAAAAGCTGGTTGGCTTCAGCTCTTCTGGTTGTGGATAAGAAACATAACTCTATTCGTTCTGTTCTTATTGACATGAGTGCACCCTTGCCAAGAGAAAGATCCTGAACATGTGTCGAAAGTGTGTTTTTAATGAAGCTGGCTTCATCTCTAATGCACCAGGCAGGGTTTGCAGAGGTGTTTCACATCAGTGGTGTTATTAAGGGGACTGTTCAATGAATTTGGGTATGTTTACCCAGGGCTTTGAACAGACTTCGTGATCATTACAAACCATGCTTTTCTGCGCATTGGTGCAAATGACCTCAAGTGTGAAGGGCCTATTCTGAGTGCTTTGGAGCAGTAAAGCTGCACTTAAAAAAAAAAATTCAGATTAGTGTTTGATTGTCCTTAGGCGTCCCAAGCAAGTCGAGGGTGAGATTTGCGCTCCTAGAGTACATGAAAGGTTCGGGGGACTCTGGTGCGCGGTATTGGGTGCAACTGTAGGCCCATTGTAGGTGCGGCCCATGGGTGGGATGCTCACATGGCTAGTGGTGGGATCGCCCAGAGGGAGGAGGGTGACTGCCAGGCTGTTTCAGATCCCGAGTGAGGAGGATTGGTTCTGAGAGCTGTTTCATGCCAAAGCTAATGGGAGGTGAGAAGACACTGAGACTTCTCTCCGGAAACCCAGCATGGCAAACCTGGTGGACTGCTGACTCGGGAAATGAGCTCCTTGTCCTTTGGCTCCCATTTTCTCATCTGTAGAAGGAGA